TTAAATGTACCACTACCTGACATACTCACAAAGGAACCACGTCAACATCAAGAGAGTCAACAATGCAGACAAGCTGAAGGTCGCTATTTAACCAAGCTGGGCTTCCATAGCACCTCAAAGTCAGCAGATCACCAGGCTGATCACCATCTTGTCATGTCGCATTAATGTGTTCTTTCAAAGAGAGGCCTAAAGAACAAGTGATTATTCTCCACAGAAAAATGGACAATCCTGCAAGTAAGTTGGCATCTTTGTAACAAAGATGATTTTTTTTTTGGTCTCATGAAATATTTTCATTTTATTCAGGAATGGATCTTTTGATGCTCACAAGCTGATAGCTGCCAAAGCTCTAAGGCAGACTCATACCAACAAAAGTTGACATACTTCTGGGTTTAAACTTTTCAGCACACTGTCTTCCTCTAGTGGCCAGCAATTATATATAACGTTCTGAATCGTACTAATGCATATCACTTCATGTAAGGTAATAACTAGACTGCCTTAACATTGAAAAGTACCATGTACAAGCATCTGCAATTATACTGGTTATCAGAATGAAAACGCTGGTCTATGGTTACCTTTATGTCCTCAGATCTATTAATATGCAAACAAAGTAAGCTGAGAGAAGAGCCAGAGGATATCCAGTCAGAGTGACAGAGGGGGGAAAGCCTGCGGGGCAGAAAGAAGCCTTTACCCAGCAGCTCTTATTGCCCAGCAACCTCACCACCATACAGAGAATGCATAGTGCTCTCTGCAGACTGCCACTGCTTATTCTCACTATCAGAGGTAATTACTTACAAATAAGGGGAAAACCAGCTGTGAAAAATTAATGTCAAGTGCTAAAACTGCATTGTTTGCAATGAACAAGCAAAACCGTTAGGAATCATTTATATTAACATTTAACTTTAAAAAAAAAAGTTGCCTAAAATGCCAAGAAATGTAATATAAAGTGAAACAAAAAGAGTCATGTTATCACAGTAGACATGCCTGGCTTCTTAAAGGGATGCTTTGGAAATTGCACACCTCAATGTGCAGCAATACTACTGGTTGACGAGATGTTTCTTTTTTTTAAATCTCAGCACGTCTGCCTAAAATTAAAGGCAGGAAAAAGTCGTTACCCCTTTTCACATCAGACTTGAGGGTCATCATTAGTGAGCCATTTTCCCTCCAGATTCAATTCTAGGCAGCTTAGGGCTTAATCAAGTGGAAATCTGGAAAAAGGGGGGTTATAGGGGTGGTCAGGGTTGGGGTGCGAGACAGAATGGGGCAATTGTTCAGATAAAGGCCTCACATTGAGTCTGCTTTCATGTCTCTCTGTGGGATGTGATGGGACTTTACAGTAGCATTTCACTCCCAGTAGGTTTTTGTTCACCCCTACAGAAAAGATGCAGCCATAAAAGGTGATCTCAAATTTACAATCATGTAATAAAAATAACTTAAAGCAATTGGAGAACAGATTCAAAGAGAGGGAACATTTAAGAGCCATAATGTAGTTGTATTTTTTTTCTTGCTTGTTTTATGTGTCACAAACACACATTTTGAAGGTCTTTGTAGAAATAAGTTTAAGTTGTTGGATAAGGCTCTGAAGAAGCCAAAAAATCTGAAGACTTATAACTTTTGATTAACTGTTTATACTAAGAATATCAAATATGACAACATTTAAAAAATGCTCCTCTCTTCCTTCCATATTTTTTTTTTTTTTTTTTGCTGGATTAGGATTCTGGGTGTTGAGTTTATACAGCATTACTTCTGACCTTGTGTCGTTTTCTATTCATGAATCAACGAACCATCTGAGAATTTAATTTCAACGCCACATGTATATAAAAATGAAGACGTATGTGAATAGCATCTTAGAGTTGAGATGTTTCTAAACTTCCATCATTTGAAATTACTTTTTTTCTTTAAAAACATTTTTGTAATTGACTCATTAGGAGACGGAAAGAACTGGAAATCAACCAGGAAAAGTACATGAAAAGCCTTGGACAGCATACATGAATGTCAATTCATTCTTTGCATCCATGAAAGAAATGCCAGTAGGTGAGGCACCAAAACTGGCAACCGCCCAGGGGCCCACATCATCCTAAATCCGGCCCTGATCAAACTGCTGCTCAACATTCCCGACACTAAAATGAGATTCCCCTCAGTTTTCCTCGCAAACAGACAGGCTCCCACTGATCTATTATGCACCAAAGCCTTTCTCATGCATGTTTTGAATGAAAGCTGGCGTATTGATGGGTTCAGATAATCACGTTTTCCCTAGACGGGCTTAGTGTCACTAAGTAAGCTGCAGAGGAGCGAAAAAGACGAGTGGAAAGGGGAGCAAAAAAAAAAGAAAAAAAAACCTTCTGCATAATGAAAGAATTTCTTTGAGAATCTTAAAACGCAGAAGAAAAATGTGCCTTTGTTAAAGACTTATTAAAAAGAGCGTAAACTGTGGAACAAGTGAAGCACTGACAGGTCGGTTGGCTCTCTTACCTTTATTCTAGGGGAGTGTGGTCCAGCAGCAGGGGCATTTCAGTGATGCCTCCAGGATCCGCTGGGAAGTTTCCCTCTTGCCTCGGTTTCAATGAAATTCTCCACACCTACAGTTTGGTGAAAATCAGCCAAAATACGAGCTTTTATTTATTTTTGTTTATTTATTATTTTTAATTTTTTTTAAGTCTTCTTCGTCACCTGCCCTCGCAGTTTTCGGTGGTATCTGGTTGTTGTCAGTGCGTGCTCTCCTCCAAGCCGAATAAAAGTGGATATTTGCATCAGAGTGGCCCTCCCCTCGCCTTTCTTAGCTGCCATTGTTAGTCCCGGTCGGGGATCGGATTGGGCCCTCCCTCGCCAAATCCCTCCCGGACTGAGCGAGGAGCAGCTTTTATTCTGTGAGCCCAGGGCTGGCAATTACTAAAAGCCACAAAGAACCTATTATACCGACCCCTTAAAAAAAATGAACGTCCGTACATCACAAACTGGTCAAGTTTAAATTAAACTCATCTTAAGTCTAATCAAAAATAAATGTTTTGATGAGATTGTAGTTGCAGCCTATAAATTAATCCGGCTTTTTCTATTCATGTTATGCTTACATTATTTTTTTTTCATTTATTTATTGTTTTTATGTCAAAAATAACCTGAATAAATACAAATAAAAACTGTCCTGCTGTGGAAACTGTCGATGAATGTTGATGTGTGGGAATTTTGCCCCACTTTTCCTGACAGATTTATTTAAACTCGGCCACATGGTGGAGCTTCCAACTCTGGACAACCTTTTTAAGGCCAAATCATCTTGTCTCATTTGGATCGAAGTTGAAGCTTTGACTAGGCCATCTTAAAATCTTTTATATAGCCAGTTAGTTTTGGGTCATTTTTGACTTCTGTTCTGGAGAACAGAAGTCATGATTTCCATTAATGACTCACAAGTAGCATTACACTTCTGCCACCATGTGTCAGTGTGATGTGTTATTTTTGAGATGTTGTGTTACTTTTGCATTTGACGCATCACACTGTTCCTCTGTTGTCTCATCTGTCCACAGAGCATTTTTGAGTTGTGAATGTGCTCCAGAAGTAATTTTGGTTGAAACCTCTGTAGTGCAAACTCATGCCAATGACACATCCTTGTGATACTTAGATAAATATGAAGTGTATATTTACTTTTACCATCTTATTTCCCATTTTGTCCTGTGATAGATGTTCAGTGAAGGCTGAGCAGAACAGAATATCTTGCTCTTGTCATACCATAAAACAAATCCAAGGAGGCAGATCATTGCACACTTCAGTCTGATGTTCTGTGAGGCCCTTTTTCAGTCTCTTCTCTAAAACCAAACAAACAGGGTCATGTTTTTTTTAAAACTCTTGGTTTTAAAAAAGCTTCCAGCTTCTGTCAAAATGACAAAGATAAAGCAGCATATTTTACAGTGTACAAATACAGCTGTTGACATTGACTGTAGTTTTCCTTGCTTGGCAGACTGGTGTTATTTTTTCAATTTCCTTTTGACATGTCATGAGTTTCCTTGAATAAAAAGCTCCATTACTGCTGGAAATGAACCTTGATGTTGTTTAGATGACAATAAACCAAACTGTCTGGTTTAGTTTGAGACAGAACATCTTAATAGGAGGGGGAAAAGTGTTTAGATCCTGACAATTGATGCGTTTTATTTATGGCCATTTATAGTGAAAATTGGGGCTATCCTGTTTACAGGCATTTTTACGTCAGCAGATTTTATAAAGGCTGCAAGGCAGAAAAGCAATCTAATTAGGACACATCTCATATTTGAGCAGGACCATTTGAAATTATTTAAAATGTTCTCTGAAACACAACATTTTAATTTGGATTTAAAGATAGTTTAAGGTTCATTTTTGAGAAAATGTAATTTTCTCTGATTTAAGAAATATAATCCTAAAAGCAGTGTTTGGGCTTCTATCCCAGCATAAGTGTTTTCAATAGCTTCATCTGCAGCTGCAATTGCCAAGTGTATGCCTATGAATGTATCGCCACCTAGAGGATAAAAACAGATGTTAACTGTTTTTCACAAATTTTACGACTTAATTTTTACTAACTCTTGGTTGATCTGCAATTAATTGCAATAGGTAATAGAAAATGTTATGATTAGGTGAGCCAAAAACAAATCGTCATCAGACAATTCAAACTTCAGGGTGTCCAAAAAACCCAGTTAGCATCAAGGGCCATGTTTCAAAGAGGTTTGGGTTGCTAACAGGACAGAGCTTGCCAAAATAGCAGCAAGCAGGTATGAGTGTTTCAATCCACACAATGTGGCAAATGCTTTTAGATAACAGCTTCGTGTCAACAGCTGTTATGACCCCTTTCTGCAAGAAAATGTCAACTGAGGACACACTGATAATTTGCAGAAATGGCTAGAATTGGACTGCAAAGGACAGAAGCACACTGAGACTTTACAATGTATCACCAAAGGGTCAATGGAATCACACATGGTAATAAGTAAATGGCATACATGCCTGTAAAAAAATAAAGAAAGAAAGAAAAAGAAAAAGAAAGACCTCTCTGCATTTGTATAAATGAACTATATAATGTTTATTAAAATATATAAAATACAAAATACATATATGCATAATTAGATCCAGGATGAAATATGCATATAGAGCATAATTATTATACAGTAAAATGTGTTTACATATATAGATTTTTAATACATATAGGAAGGTATTTTGCATTAAAACTGGCAGTGGTGATTTCATACTCCCTCTCCTCTCTCTTCCTTCGCACACACAAACAGGAAGCCTCCTGGCCCCACAGCACCGGTCCCACGAAGGCAGGGCCTCTCTGGAAAGCTCGCGAGCAGCAGCACCTTTACACCTGAGATCTGCATTTATGAAAACGTCTCACATGGAACAACAACTATTCGGACACATAGTATAGCTTTAAAGGACTTTGACTGAAGAGACTGAGTGACACAACAGAAGTCATCTGATTCGAATTAGTTCTTTACTGAACCCCTTAAAAAACATGTGGAAGGAGTGCAGGCTTTCAAGTACAACATTTGGGGAAAATACTGAAAAACTGCGCCATTTCTCTCTTACTACATGCCGAGGTCCTGCTAAGCAGACACCATTTACCATCAGTGTACTTGGCAGCTCAGTACAGTGTTTCTTAGTATATCTGTAGAGTTTGCAGGAAGCTTTGAAAATCCAGGATGGAGAGTGCTTCCATTGGATTAGTCCTTCAGAATAGCGTGGTTTGGTCCTGGTTTCAGTCACTCATATGTATTTATACATAAAGCTGTCATGTCTGGTGGTAGTGGTGGTAGTGGTGGTGGTGGTGGTGTTCATGGTGATGGTGATGCTCATGGCGCTGCACCACAGGAACAACAATCCCTGGGCTCCCGGGGGGGCCGGACGCCTGCTCCCTCTCCATGCCGGGCAGCATGGACGGCATGGCAGGCTGCTGTTGGTGGTGGGGCTGCGGAGTCAGAAGGGTTTTGGTCGGAGACATGGAATCGCGAGCTCTGGCCTTTAGCCGCTTGCTGTGACTGTGCTGCAGAGGGTGCTGGTGGTGGGCTGAAGGTTGAGCTTGGTGTGGCAGGTGGTACACATCTTGACCCCCGTGACCTGCGGCGTTGCCACTGTGCAGCATCGTTTGGATGGGAGGGTGGTAACCGTGACATTTGTTGGATTTGCCTCCTCCGTTATTGCCTCCACTTCCCTTATAGGCTCCTTTAGGGGATTTGAGAAACTGAGCACCTTTGGCTCGAGGCTCTGCAGGGTTGTAGCTTTCACCGATGACCTGTGAACGTCGGTGGTGAACAACTTGGGCTTCTGGCTCATGGGAGCGAGAACGACTCTGGCTTTGTGAGCTACGAACTTGAGTCTCCTGAGCGGGGCAGTCTGGGTTTGTTCCTGGAAGACAGCATAAAAACATTGTGGTATATTAAATTAAGGTCGATGGATATTTTTCACAGTAAAACTGAAATAAGCCTTTGAAATGCTGCAGCAAAGCTAACAAAAAGAAATTTGGACACATTTGCAGACAAAACATCAAACATCAAAACATCCAGGTCAATGTGAAAACGGGGGCTGAGACACAGTCTGGAAACCTGTAGCTTCTGAAATGATAGAGACCCAAAGAAAGTTTATGTCCGACTCCAAACCCAACCTGAAACTGAACTTGGAAACCATGCAAGACTGTAGGAATAGTTTAAGTTTACAGCTTGCTCTTAGTGAGCCTTCACCCTCTTGTTATTTCTTTAGCTATGCCGCCCTGCAGTGAATGCTGCCACGCAGATGCATGTCGGTAACTGCAGCAACTGTAGCTGTGGCACAGATTGACAGCAGCTGGAGAGCTCCAGTAACCCTGACTGCTTGTTTTCACTCTGCCGCGGTGAAGCATTTGATCAGGTTAGTGGAGGAACGTTTTACATATTTTTTCTCAGGTATACATCCTGGGATATATAAGCTCACCTTACAAGACTTTAAGCTGTTACCATGTTATTATGAAAAAGAGGTGAGTGATGTTTTCAGAACAGGCTATAAGAAGTGAGATTCAGATTGATATTGTTATTATATTCAGAGAGGGAGCCTACATTTGTAATAGTCACACAAATTTAAGTGATCACCATCACCATAAAATGCAGGCTTTGAAACTCACCATTATTTTTACTTAAAATATTAGAATGAAAAATGTGTAATAAGAGATCTTTATAAATATTTTATTATTTATTTACAGGAATAAATAAATATTTATGAATTTGGTATCTGAGGAAAATGATGACAACAGACAGGCGTTTCAGAAGAAAGAGCATCTGAAGGCTTTTAGAAGTTATAAATGTAACTTGAGTTCTTGTATAGACCAGCTAAAATGGGGAATATGTCAAATCTTTCAATTATGAATAAAGCTTCCATCTTTTATAGCCAAAGTATTTAAGTTATTCCTGCTTTAGTTAAATCTTAGTTTGAATGTGTGGTGATGATACAGGCATGCTGATATAAAAATGGTTAAATAAAGTGGAAGTGAACTGACCTTCAAATCTGGAAGTGTAGTTCTCAATACCAGCCAGGTCCAGGTAGTGGTTCCTCCTCTCCGTGTTCTCATCCACGCAGTAATGCTGACCCTCGGCGGCCGGAGGCTCACTGCTCTGTCCCTTGCTACTGTATGAGAGTAAAAGAAAAAAAAAAGTCATATTTGTGGCTTGAACACATTCTTCATAAGAAAGGTTTCAAACAGACTAACCTGAAGTATGAGGAGAGACGCTTGTCAGATGACCGGCTCTCATCGTGGTGGCAGCGCTCTGAGAAAGTACAGCTGAAGTTAAATAATGACTGAATGAACATGCTTTTTGAATGCTAATAAGCCTGATGTATGCTATGATTTAGTATCAATGCATAGCAATCTAGTTATTCTAAACAAATAAAAAGGGGTTTCTAATTAGGCCGAGTTTAGCAATCATAGGTTTAGGAGCTAAAAAAAAAAAGTGAAATGTCACTATTTTATTTTCTGTATGCTACCAGAAACTGAATAATATTATATTAGTATAAATTAATAAAAAAAAACATACTTTTTTTTATTATTAATTATTCCAATAATGGAGTTAGGAATAAAGTCTGCAGACAAAATAACAACAGAATCAAGTTTCAGATTTTTTCAGACTCTTTACTGAGTAGGAAACCTGAGTCGTTGGTTCATTTTTCGGTCACCTGCTCCTGTGTCTCGTCTGTGGCTCCTCGGCTCTGGGGTGACGGTCAGCTTCACGCGTAGAGTCTTGCTTTTGTTGTGACAGGAGTGATTCACAGAGGCATCCACCACATCATAGATGGTGTGCATCAAACTCGACATGTCCTTTAGAGATCAAAACACATAGTTTACAATTCCAAATTTAATTTTTAAAAAAATTTAAAAAATAAAAATACTAAAAAGATGCATGTAAATAAATGTTAGATGGGACGTTTTGGAAGCATTATAAAAACAACAGCTCAGTCGCCAGAGGCAGAACCAGCCCACATACTTCTTTGGTGACTTTCCCACTGTTGTCAAAGTCATAAAGAGTGAAGATCCATTCCTGACGGTTGTCATCTTCCAAAGAAACATCACACTCCACATCCTGGAAAAAAAAAAAAAAAAACATTTGTCTCTCTTTTATACACAGAAACACAGACAGTTCAGCGTAGCTCTTTATCCTCCTCATCATCACTGTGATTATGCTCCAAAGGCATGCCACCGGCGAGACACATCCGCAATTGAAACAGCAGGTGGCAGCAAAGTACAGTTTGTTCTGGTTTTATATAGTCGTTGACAAAGGTTTTCATTCAACGCACATTACAGAAAAGGAAAAATTTCCTAACTCTGCAAAATAGAGTTAGAAGTTTTCTGATGCATTCACATTTAGAAAGTCCAGAACAGAGAGGCATAATCACCAAATTTTAATTACGAACAAATGCAAAGCAATTCTTCGTTTTTTCAGCTGCAACCTCACTCACTGAGATGAGAAACAGTATACTGATTGCAATCTGGAAGTTGTCAGACAAGGAAAAAATGCTGCCAGATCACATTAACTCTTACATTGACGCTAATGCATTTCTTCCCGGAACTTTTGGTGGCGTCTCTGACAGGTTCTTTCTCTCCGTCCTCTGAGTGCAGGTACTGCAAGTAGCTTTCACAACCTTCAGCCTTCTCCTGCGGAAGAATCACTGTCGATGCAAAAGAAAAGCAATAAATGAGAGTCAGAGACAACCTTATGTTCTATGCAAGACAATCTTTGACTCTCACAATATCAATCTAATCTCTATGAGTGACTAGCTGTGTCTGTGATTCTTGATTAAAGCGCCCTTCTTTTAACAGCGCTTTTTCAAGTCCATGAGGCTTTGTGTGCTCAGCTCAAAGCGGGCAGTTTAAGATTGAAACACAACTTTACAATTTTTGTTATGGGACAGACCAACAAAAATGGTACAATCTGTCATAAAACGCCTGATTGGCTAACTGTCTTCTCCGCTTACCCTCAAGGGGACAGTGTTGGTCTGTGAATTGTCCTTCCTTCAGTTCAGCACTCGGAAACTCCTGGGGAAAAGAAAAGAGGAGAGAAATTCACAGAGGATGGGAGAGAGGAGAAGGAGAGAGGGAGTTAGAGATGTAAGTGAATCTGCAGTTCAGACCACAGACACAGAGAAAACAAACAGTTCCAGCTAAAGCATTTCCTACTCAGATGAGCGGCGGAGGGCTCCAGGCTCCAGCGCGGCCAAACACTTTGAACATCTGCATGCTTATTGTGTTTCACTGTCTGGGACGCAGCGAGCGCGGCCACAGCCAAGCTTTCAAGATTCCTCCAAGCCCTTCAAATGGATCCCTCACATCCATCAAAAAGCTTGTGGTGCACTTCATCATCTGAGCATCCTCTCTCTCTCTCTCTCTCTCTCTCTCTCTCTCTCTCTCTCTCTCTCTCTCTCTCTCGCTTTCTCAGCCAACCTGTTTATTCTCATCCTGTTTGACATGAGAGACCCACTGAGAAGTGCTTGATGGAAACCAAAAGTTTAGGAAAGAAAAGTTTTGTTGTATTGCTTTTTTTTCGTCTTCTTCTTCTTCTTTTTTTAAGCAGCTCAACTCTGAAAAGTTTGGCTTATGAGCAACAAGCCACAGAACGAGGTCTGGGTGGCACTTATGCTGAATGCCAGATGGAAATTTCCTTGCAGATAGGATGAAACTGACTAATTACACCAGTACAGAAAGAAGAGAGGGATGGAAAGAAAAACTGGTCTTCTTCCATTTGTGAATAATTCGTGTCTTGCATAAAACTGGACCACAAAGCATTCCACACATGTGCGAATGCATAGGGAGCAGCAACACACACACTCAGGCTTTTTTAATTACAAGTGCATTGTGGAAACAATGAAAATTAAGTGCAGCACAGGCCCTAAACCACAAATATTTGAACAACAAATGATTCAACTTATTTACGTCATTCCCCGTTCCTCTAAGCTGCTCAGCAGGCTTTGAAATAAAATCGCACCAGATTGAATCAAGGAGGCCCACTGAATTGAGACAAATAAAAAACAGACAGGGCACTCGAAAACAAAAGAACTCCGTGTACCTTTTGACGGAGCCGAGGTTCATGAGAGCATGAACATCTGCATGCGTTTAGGTGAGCGAGCCCCCTCCCCGTTTACCCACTCAGAGTAATCACAGCGCCAGGGCCTGTTGTGGTTCTGTTTAAGAATCTCAAAGACTGATTATTCTGGACTTCAGAGGACGATACGTCAGGACGTAATCTGGTCGTGACCTTCGCGGCTAAATGGGAGGCAGTCCGATAAGTCCTGGAGGTCAAGGCCCAGGCGGCCACCAGAAACCCCTGGGAGATGGGCAGGAGGAAGGAGATAGGGGAAGGAGGGATAAAAGGGAAGGGAAGTTCAGAGGAACAAAGTTGAGAAAGGAGCAAGGTTGAGAAGAGGAGAAGGGCAGAGGAGAACGCTAGATAGGAGAAGGGACCAATCTGTTGGTGTTTTCAGACGCTCGGTGGAAATGGGAACTGTTTTATTTCTTTTTTCTGTCATAAACAAGAAAACCTTAAATCATAAAGCACACATTCTCGAATCAAAAAGAAAGAAAATGTGTATTTATATACACAAAACTCACAGCATCCATCTTTTGTGGTTTCCTCAGACAAGTTGTTGTTTTCCTTCTGATCTGGAAGCTTTTATCCCCTCCCTTTTATCCTGCAGTCCCCCTAATGAAGGCCAGTATGTAAGGACTCAGAGGAACATCAAAAACAGCCAATGATTCCTGCCTTCCTCATTCCCCATAAGGTGGCAGAGCAAACTGTTCACAGCTGAATTGAAGACACGAGCTTCCAGAGGTGGACCGATCTTGCTTTTTCTGGCTAAAGAATCGTCATTTCTGCCATTCTTTGATATGTGACCTGATGATTTAGATTTGAACTGACACTGATTTTTTGTCTTTTTCTTTTACAGATCATAAAACATAAATGAGACGAAACATGCTGTAGGTGTCTGACGTAGGCAGTGATTTTGACTCCAACAGAAAATGAAGAATTTGATTTGGTTTTCATTAAATTGTTGCATTAAAGTCGGAGGACTTCTTTGCAAACGTTGGAGATGCAGAAGTTGCCTTTGCTTGCCACACACTATTTTAAGGGGGCCGACAGGGTTTGTTTCAAACACATGTTGTCCCCATACCAATAGCACAGCCCCACCTCTGTGCTCATTACATCCATTGGTGAAGCTAATGAGAAAGCAGCCTGTACCTAACCGCAGTCTGCAGCTCACCATCTAAACACATCTCCCTCCACATCGCCCACGGTGTAGGGTTCAAATCTGCCCTCCACATGTGCAATTAACTGCTTTCTGGCATTGAGCAGCTTTCATTTGTTCACTATCAGATCACAACCGACTCTTTAGGACGCAATTCGCTATCCTACAACAAAAGGGTTGTTTCTTAACAGATGTGTACGGTTAAAATCATTGCTGTGACCTGAAAGAAACATTTGAAATGTGCACATGTTGAGGGAGATACTTCAAGAACAAACAATAGGTATTGGATCCCCATTGTCTTTTGTTGTTGTTGTTTTTTAAAATACTGGAAATATGCAGTGACAACATTCTGTGTCAACAATCTGCCTCTCCGACGCCTCGACATAAGAGAGAGAAAGAAAGGTGAGTGATGTTTGTTCCCGTTTAATGCCGCAGTTCTGCCAAGCTTCCCTAAAGCCTCAGTCTTCTGCCAGACTTTTATGTGGGATAGGGTAACCAGGGAAGCTTTCATAGCTCCCTACCAGGTGACATCAGACATCCCCCAGCAGTCTGTCCTCCCACCCTACCTCTGCCACCCCCTCCCTGCCTACCACCCATCCTCCCTCTGGAAAACACTGCACATCTTTGTTCTCACATCTCCCCCTCTGGCTCACCCCCCTAAAAATAAGTGCACACACTTCTTTAGGGCCACGATCCAGACCTTATGATGCAACGTGAAAATTGTGCCTTTAAAAACAGCGAAGGCCAACATTAATATTGTTTACACAGCTCCTCTTCCCTCGGGTGAGGAAATATGGCAGCTCGATCGGATGTCTTAATGCGTGTCGAAGTACAAACACATGCTGGAAAGACACGAAAACAGGATCCGACCTTCTTTATGGAGTTTTGAATTTGTGAGTCTTTTTTTCCTGCTTCGTTCTGCGCATGGGTAAAGGTTGCTCTCCGTTTATTTTGTCGTTTTGATTTTTCTAGGAAAACCAGGTCAACAATATAAGCTCTCTGTTTCATTTGATGTTAAAGGGAGCATTGGGAGGTAAATGCTCTGAAGCTATTAGTGGGAGTTTTCTTAAATTTCAGAGGGCGCCACCAGAAAAGGCTTCAAGACCACCAGCCAGCAGACCAGCATTCCTTCTCAACCCCAATATTAACTTGAAATTATTGTGGCGTTCCTTGTGAAGACAAATCAGAACCCAAATGTTATTACTACAAAGACAGGAAAACCCATTCGTAAACAAGCGTCACTTTCTTGTGCATTCCTGAGATTGAAACTGGAGAGGGACGGGGGCCATTGAGAAATAAAAGCCCTCCGTTCCAGCTGAAACCAACCTGGCCTCGACTCAAAACCAGATGTGAGCGGTTCTGCTGGAAAGAGGCAGACCAAACGATGGTGGATGGAGGGGGAAGGGGCCATTGTCTAAAATATTTTGGGCTCTGGAGCAAGAAGATTAGATGAACTTGTGGCAACTTCTGCCTCTTTTCCAGCAAGAGAGCTAAAGTACAAGCTGCTTACGTTACAAACAATACCCCATTCTCTTTGTCAATTTTCTGTCTCTGTTCTTCTGCGGTGTAGTTTTCATATTTTTGGCTTAAACGTTCCTTACTTTTTGTGGAAATAGATGTTTGGGATTTGCAGATGATCTCTGGAAACAGCGAGAACTGAATGAACCTGGTCATTTACAGTTTTTGTATTCAAAAATTTTAAATATTAGCATAATATGAAATCCTGTGGCATGTGATAATGGCTGGTTCTCAGCTTGAACGGTGAAAACTCGGTCAAGAATTTTAATCGTTCTATTTTGTAACTTTAACGTAAAGGTTATTTAGTGAAGATTCCACGACATGAGCTGTTTTTTTCAAACACTGAGTTGTTTAACAATGAAGTTGCAGAAAGCAAAAATGTACATGTATGCATCCATTACAAAGCCATGTCTATCACATCAGGGATTTATTCATTATGTTACAAAGTTTGTTCTAATGAGACGAAAGACTGAGTTCACACAGAAGCAACGCAGTTCAGTCACAAAGAGAGTTGGACTTCAGCAGACAACAGGAAGGCTGAAAATATTTTAAAGTTGTTCAATCTTGTTCAGGTTTTAACCTGTTTGTCTTGGAACACATTGAGTTTGGAAACATCTGGGTGTGATATGGTACGGTAGGTTCTCTTCTACAGGAAATATGCATAGAGTTACAAAACCTCTGCAACTCAAGTTAAAAAAAACAAGATGGATTTAGCTTACCTTGACAGTTAAAACATTAAACTAACAAATAAGTGACCGACATATATAAACAACGTGACATGTCCTCTGTTTAAGCATATGGCTTGCTCACATTTTGATTTTTGATATTTAAAAAACTACATCAGTTGGAGTTTCAGATTGGAAAAATGAAATTTAACTGGATGTGTGTCTAATCTTTTATACCTTTGGACAAGAGGTCACTCCAGAAGACCACCTGTGTCACGCAGCAGAGATGGCCCAGATATGACCGCCTTTTCGCGACTCTTTCAGGAAGCTCTCTGAGGTCAAACAAGAGGCAGAACCTCTCCCTTGGCAGAATATGAATCGCTAAAATGAAGCCTCCACAATCCTACAATGACAACAGCTGTGGTGAGAGATGATCATGCTTGCCTGTCTATGTAAGAGCAGCGTGCACGCCGCTAAAAGTCAGCCGCTCCCCTTCTATCAGGGGAGGAATGAACCTCCTTTTCACTCTTTGTCCCGTCACTGATCTTTCTTTCACTTTGATTGTGACCTCCTGAAAGCCCTAAACAAAGATTAGCATCGCTGGCTGACAGGC